TTGAAGCGTAACCAACACAAACAACCACGGTTAGTATATTCACCTTGTATTCAACCCACAATTACCGTCTGAAGTGTCTTTTTGAAGTACTCGTTAAGGTTCGAATGTATTCACTTGATCTACGACAGCCACCAGGCACCTACTTACTCTTTATCCCTGACATTTGCACCGTCAGGAGAGAGCAAAACATTTTGTTGGGCTGTGGAATAGTACCAAATGCGTCATATGTGAAGTACACGATCAACGCAGCCCCTCTTATTGCTTACGATTGCCATAATTGTCATGTCCTCCTGATTAGTTCATTTTCAACTTTCTCAAAGGCCTTTAAATCTTTATTTTTTTTGATACAATCAAATTTCAATCACCATCACACATTGTATTGCCTCATGTCTTATACGTCCACTGTGACATCCAAATCCGCAAAAGCCGGCCGCCAACTTCCTGATATGAATGATGTGTAAAAACAGATTTCGGGTTCTTTAAATAGACAAAACATGTCATCCGGTTTCCGGTCGCCGCCGAAATAATACACGAATCATTATATCCGAAAAAAGACAACGCGCTGATTTCTCCAACAGCTGAATCCTGTCTTCCAAATTCCTTCCACTTTTCTACGAATTCTCCAATAGAATGTCGAAAAATAATGACAATGATTTCAACACGATATCTGTTTCTAGTTTCCGCACACCGTTACGCTACTGTTTTCTTCACGGAACTTTTGACGTCATGGAAGTACAACCCATCATTTGACTGACTTGAATGAACCACGGTAGCTACGAAGGGCTCAACGATGAGAAGGAAACTGACGATGAGGATTGTAATCAATATTCTAGTAAATTTCAATAAACGCGCAGCAAAACAATCCCCTAGCGGCTAGCACTGGAACTGGCTGAAGACTACCGACTCAAAAGCCTGGATAATGGGGGCGACCCTAGAAAGGTAAGGCTATTAGCGGCCAGTGCATCGTTGACAAGAAGAATCAACCCTCTTATCTAATAGCGGAATTGTAACTACTCATTTTCGTCGTTACTTGGGATGATCTTTTACTGGTCAACATAAATTACTTCAAGAAGGTTCACCGCTTAAGAAACACTGTAGTTTAACAATGTACGATCAAGCGCACATAAACTGTCACTCTTTTATATAAGGACGACCGTGTAAGTGTTTCGGAACCCTCCCTAAACCCTGTCGGGAGCGCGTTCTAGTTCAAACATTTTTAACTGTCTTAGCTCATATAGCTACTGAAGACTTGAAAATTCGGGATCAAGAGGATAGTCGCGACGGTTCCGCACATGCCATATGGTTATGAACTTGACGATTCGTTTGATGTACAGCGACTTCCTGCGTGTTAAAGCCATGAAAAATCAAACATCACAGGTAAACCAATCCAACCGGTTCAGTTAACGGTTAGAACGGACACCGTCACCGGATATTTCATGCCGATGGTGCTTCAACAGCTATTGACGGATAACCTCAGGATGCATACACTGACCTTGTACCCAACAAGTGCACCGTTTTGATGGCAGTTTATCAAAGATTCAAGGCCATGAGTGCACACTAGAGATAGTGTCATTGTTGAGGTACTGCATCCAGATAACAATGTATCACACTAGCTACCAGGCACGTCAGTGAAGAGTTCGTTGTTATGCACTTCAGAAGAGCATTAAAGAGAGGACCGACCAAAAACAGCACTCATCTACTTCCCACAATCCTGAAGAAAAGAGTAAATACACTGAAGTTCCCTGAGAGAGAAAAAACCAAACCTGTTTTTTAGCACCGTTTGGGTGCACGTTACGGGATTTTACTTACCCGTCACCTCCTCACCCATTTGAATGATATTTTCAGCACACGATTAAGGGGTGTTGATGGAACATTAGTCAAAGTTGCTGCTACTGGAACCAGCCTACAAGCAGCCATCTGTTCAAGTTAAGTAATTGAAGTTTTACGGACACAGTCCAAGTAACAAGCAATCGATACTGTCATGTTTCGTGGCCGACTCAGCAATACGAGAATGCGTGCACTTAACTGCACTCAAAGAGTATTTGTGTTGGACCTACCAAATTACTCCACAAAAGCCATTCATCCGTAGGTTGACAGTTGACCGCGCATGATGTGCTTAATTCCTATCCATCCTACATAACCATACACTACCAATGATAAGGCAGAGAGTGGAACCAAACCAAAAGGAACGAGCCTGCATAAACCCAAACTAATAACAATCCGCTGAACTATACCATTTTATTTCGGAAATTTTCAAAACGACGGTTATGGAGAGACACTGTTGCATAACTGAGGAAAACGTTGTTTGGTGGAGAGAAGAGAGATGTAGGGAACGATATCTCAAATGCTCATTTATGGCTATATTAAACATTCAACCGGGAAATCCGGATATTATCCGTCAACTGTTCAGTCACTGTTTATTGAATCCAACTTGACATGATGATGATCCCCCAATTCATCTGCTTACACCGATTGTGTACTTATGATCTCCATCTGCTTCGTATTTTTTCTCTCCATTCACCTTGTCGCAAAGACCGCCCAGTCTGACAGTGGTATTTTAGTACGTGTGTGTGTGCCATTGACCAACTTGCCCATACATCTGCTGGGCCTGCTCTGACTTGCTTTGCCGGGACTTCTGTGTGATCGCGTCGCCAGTCAGACTCACGAGACTGATCCGGAAAGGATTATCACAATCCAAACTACCAAACCGAAATTCAGCTCACCGTTGTCTGCTTTGTGGACCTGGGTGCTGCACTGTACCGGTCAGTGACAGACCTGCGCACTTGTTGATACCACGAATATGTACATTTGAGTACAGTGGAGTCTCGAGTTCAAATCTTCCTCCCTTCAAACCTACGTAAGACTCTTTGTTCCATATCGGCAAACTCTAGGCCCTTACTCTGAACCCAAGGTAGCATAATGGTTAACGCGCGAACTCACTGG